TGGGTCATGTTTTCTTATCCATTCAGCCACCCTATATCTTTTTATTGGGGCATTTAATCCATTTACATTTAAGGTTATTATTGAAAGATACTTATCTAATGACATTTTGTATCTTTATAGCTGTGTTTCTCATTCTCTTTATTTCTACTTCTAAATTATAGCAGTCCCTTTAACATTTCCTGTAATGCTGGCTTTGCAGTGATAAAGTCTTTTAACCTTATTTTGTCTGGGAAGCTCTTTATTTCACCATCCATCTTGATAATCTTGCTGGATATAGTCGTCTTGGTTTCAGATCCTTGTTTTGCATTACCTTGAATACTTCATGCCTTGCCCTTCTGGCTTGTAGAGTTTCTGATGAGAATTCAGATGACAGCTTTATGGAAGCTCCTTTGTAAGTAAGATTGCTTTTCTCTAGCTTCCTTTAAGATTCTCTCTGTCTTGGATTCTTGACATTTTAATTATGATGTGTCTGGGTGTGGGCCGCTTTGGATTATTCTTTCTTGGGACTCTCTGTTCCTCCAGAACTTGTGTGCCTTTTTCCTTAACCAGGTTAGGGAAGTTTTCTGCCATTATTCCATCAAACAGGTTCTCTAACCCTTGCTTACTTTCACCCTCCTCTGGCACTCCTATAATACAAATATTGTTATGTTTTATGCTGTTCCACAGCTCCCTTAGACTGTCCTCCTGTTTTTTAATTGTTTTTTGTTTTTGGGTGTCTGATTGAGTGATTTTTTCTACCCTGTCTTCTAATTCACTGATCCAATTCTCAGCTTCCTCTAATCTGCTGTTTATTCCTTCTAATGTATTTTTAAAAAATATATATATCTTTATTGATTTCAGAGAGAGGAAGGGAGAGGAAGAGACAGAGATAGAAACATCAATGATGAGAGAGTCATTGATTGGCTGCAGCCTGCAACCCGGGCATGTGCCCTGACTGGGGATTAAACCCCGATCTCCTGGCTCCTAGGTCGACGCTCAACCGCTGAGCCACGCCAGGCTGGGCGCTTCTAATGTATTCTTTTTTTCTTTTATATCATTCTTCATTTCTGACTGGTCACTTTTCATAGTTTCCAGATCTTTTTTCATGCTGTTGAGCATCCTTACAATCAGTATTCCGAACTCTATATCTGAGAGGTTGCTTATCTGTTTCATTTGGCTCTTTTTCTGGAGAATTCCCTTGTTCTTTCATTTGGAGCTTGTTTTTTGGTCTCCCCATTTTGGCTAAGTGTTAGGTAGACAGATCTGCTAGGGTTCTCAGTCTTTTTGGAGGGTCTCTGGTACAGGCCAATGTCAGATGCAGTTTGTGACTGGCACTGAGTACCCTGTTTGGGTCTATCAACAATCCCAGCCTTGAGGTCTACACTGCTGGGACTGGATGTGTTTGGGCAGGACCAAGATGCACACCAAAGTCTGCTTTTTCTAAGGCCCGGATCCCAAAACAGATCAGGCAAAAACTCAAAGCACCCTGAGGTCTGCCTCAATCTGCAGACTGGTTGATCTGATTCTCTTAATGAGCCTCAGGCTGTAGAAGCTCCACAGGGTGGGGCAGCTGGTTGTTATCAGTCTCTTAACAAGCCTCAGGCTGTAGAAACTTCTCTGGACAGGGCCAGAGGCTCTCTAGCAGTGTGGGGCAATTGCTTCCTCCTCAGGCAAAAGCCAAAAATTCGCCTCCCAAGAAAGATGTCCCCCAAGTCTGGGGGAATGACTCTCCCCAGACTCCCCACACAGCTCCAGTCCACTCCACTCCCCATCGACCGGAGCCCAAGGTGAGTGGCTGCACACGAAATGTTGTGCATTGATTCTTTAAGAGGGTGCCTGCAGTTCCAGCTACCTCTCCCTGGCAGACAGAAACCCAGCTGCTTTTCACAGCCAGATGTTATGTGGGCACCTTTCTCAGTTCTGGTGGTCTTGGCTGGGAAGCCCAGCCTGGGGTTTAGGCCCCAGAGTCCTCAGTGGGAACCCCCACAGCTGAGATCTCCCTCTGGACCTTCAGCTGCTGCCTGTGGGAGCCCAGCCAGCCCTCTCGGGTCCGCACTTCCTACCAGTCTCTGTGCGGTCTCCCCTTTTCCTCTTTGGTTATGAGCGTGCTCTCCAGCTAGTCTTCAGTTGGATTTCCGGATGGTTTTTCTATGTTTTAGTTGTAAATCCAGATTAGTCCCGAGTGTCAGTGTATCTTCCACTCAGTCTGCCGCCATCTAGGATCTCTCCTTTCTTATGGCTGAGTAGCAGTCGATTGTGTACATGTCCCACTTTTTTTTTTTTTAACCAGTCCTCGATCGCAAGACTTGTTTGCATGTCTTGGCCACTGTAAATGCTGCTGCAATTAACAAAGGGGTGCATATATCTTTGCAAATACATGTTTTCAAGTTTTTCGGGTATATACCCAGGACAGGAATTACTTGGTTTCATGGTAGTGCTTTTCTTAATTTTTTGAGGAATCGCCAGACTGCTTTCCCTAGAGGTTGAACCAGTCTACATTCCCACCAGCAGTGAATGAGGGTTCCCTTTTCTCCACCCCTCCAACACATGTTATTGCTTGTCTTGATAAAAGCCACTCTAACAGGTGTGAGGTGGTATCTCATTGTAGTTTCGACTCGCATTTCCCTAATTGTTAGTGAGGTCGAACATCTTTTCATGTACCTATTGGCTGTTCGTATGTCTTATTGGTAGAAGTGTCTGTTTAGGTCCTCTGCTCACTTTTTGATTGGGCTGTTTGTTTGGTGTTGAGTTTTACGAGTTCCTTACATATTTTGGAAACAACTTTTGTTGGAGTTACTGTTTGCAAATATCTCCCATCTGATTGGCTCACTGTTTTGTTTGTCTTTTGCTGTGCAGAAGCTTTTCAGTTTGATATAGTCCCATTCATTTATTTTTGCCTTTACTTCCCTTGCCTCTGGGGTCAAGTTCATAAAACATTCTCTATGACGAAGGTCCATAAGTTTGGTACCTATGTTTTCTTCTATGTAACTTATTGTTTTGGGTCTCACATTTAGGTCTTTGATACATTTTGAATTAATTTTTGTACATGGGGACAAAATGTAATCCAGTTTCACTCTTTTGCATGTGGCTTTCCTGTTTTCCCGGCGCCATTTATCGAAGAGACTGTCTTACTCCATTGTGTATTTCTGGCTTGTCAAAAATTATCTGCCTGTATACATATGGTTTTATATCTCAGCTCTGTATTCTGTTCCACTGACCTGTGTGTCTGTTTCTGTGCCAATACCATGCTGTTTTGATGATCATAACTCTGTCGTATCATTTGAATTCAGGTAACATGATACCTCCAGCTTTGTTCTTTTTTCTCAGGATTGCTTTGGCTGTTCAGATTCTTTTGTGGTTCCACACAAATCTGATTTCTCATTCTATTTCTTAAAAAAATGACATTGGTATTTTGATGGGGTTGCATTTAATCTGTATATTGCTTTGGGTAATATGGCCATTTTAACTATGTTGATTCTTCCAATCCATGAACATGGAATATGTTTCTATTTTGTTCTTTTATGATCTCTTTTAATAATGCTTTGTAGTTTTCAGTATATAGGTCTTTCACGTTATTAAGTTTATTCCTAGGTATTTTATTCTTTTGTTTGCAATTGCAAAAGGAATTGTTTTTTCATTTCATTTTCTGAAGTTTTGTTGTTAGTATACAGGAAGGTAATGGACTTATTTACATTGATTTTGTATCTTGCAACTTTACTGTTTTACTGTATTTGTTTATTATTTCAAAATACTTTAGAAACAAAATTTAACCTAAGTGAACAAAGAAGAAATATAGCACAAACACCAATGTTAGGGAAACAACCAAACAGGGCAGGTCTGGCCAGACATGTACTTTCTAGATTCAGCAGTAGAGTGATGACAATCCCAGTTCCACTACAACTGGAACTATGTACCTCCTACACTCCACCATACAAGCTCGTAAGTTAAGTATTTTTAATAGTAAAACTCTCTTCTGATGCTAAATGCCGCCAATGAAAATACGGTGCATGTAGAAACTGGTTACCACGCTATTCTCTAGTCCAAGTTCCTTCGAAACTAGCCTTCCAGGGTGAAAACCGTAAGGTAAGTTTCTCCTGTCTTTTTTTTTTTTTTATGTTGGAAAATTCAGAAAAAAAGGAGCCGGAACCATTTTGTTTTAAAATATAAAATCTGACCTAAAATATTTTCTCAAACTAATTTATGGAATATTAACTTTTATCAATACCCTCAGTCCTCATTCAACCTAAATAAAAGAATTTTTCATAGAATCCACTAGACATAGGTAATAAGTTCTGACATAATACATACATGCACACACATACAGCTGTGTAAAACGTGTGTGTCTTGGGTCATTTCTAAAGATGAGGAACACTATTAAACACCTGGCTCAACTTTTAATTTATATACGAAGAAGAGAACATTAATGGGCATATACAGTGATTATTCAAACCATACATATGCACAAAGGCATGTAGATAATAAAACAGTCTTTGTTCTGATTATATACAGTAAGAATGGATCAAAAAACTGAAACCTAGGGGATTGTTGACACACAAACTCTTCTGGAAAACACTGGTTATAAATGGTTTCAAAAATACAAATTACAGGCAATAACAGTGTTATTCTGGCCAGTCCATGTCAGTATCGGATTCAGAAAGTACGCCCAGTCCGTGGGGACTAAGCAGTTCCCCAAGGAGCATGGCAGTGTGCCCCAGAGGTTCTGCCCTTAGTAACAGCACCATGCGGAAGGGCTCTTTGGATTCCAAATTGGAATAGTTTCTATTGTATTTTTTAACCAGAATTAAAAGACCTTGAGAATAGGCAAATAATGAAGCAAACTGATATAATTATAATGGCATATATTTTTGTGTGAGAGAGCATCTGTGTAGTTACACACACACACACACACACACACACTGGAAACTATAATATAAAAGGAAAATAGTAGGGGGAAAATTGGCCCCAGGTATATCTAATTTTAAAGTAACTGATAAATTTATGATTAATGAAGTTTTCTCTATTAGAAACACAATCTATTTGTCTGGGGAATAGAGTCATGAAAAATAGGGTGAGTACTGAAAGCTAAGGTGGGAGACCTACCATGGACTGAAAGCTTTAATCTGGGTAACAAGCTCGAAGGCCAGTGAGCAAAAAGGTCCTGCTTTCAGGAGTGTAGATCTCAATCTAAGGTCAACTTTCTGCCAAATTATAGCCTCAAATGCTGTCCCAGTAGATCCGAGGATGAGAGACACAGAGAACAGAAGGAAGGAGAGTTTACACTTACCTTTATATCAGCAATATTTTTTGGCACTGTGGAGAAACTTTTAGAAGTAACATCCAAAGCGACAAATTCTAAAGATTGTATAAAAGTTTGAGGAGCTAAAAGTTTAAACTCCTAAAATTTTCATCTATATGTGTTCTTGTTATAAGAAATTAGAGAACTGAATCTTAACGTACCGCAATTGTTCAAATACCTAAATTTTTCCTCTTTGGAAACAATGTGTTTTGCAATTAACTTCTATTCATAAGGTCTGATCAGTGACACAAGTAGCAGCATTTTCACCTACAGTTTCATTCACTGCCACTGTTTCCAAGCTGTCCACCGTTTCTAGTAATTGTGAATCTTAATTTTATTAAAAACATGTATTTGAAAAGCCTATTAAAATATTTTCCCTGTATCACTGAGACTCTGCACTGAACACCTGACTCATCCTTAGCTCTGCAGAACCTGTCAGGTGCTGGTTGGACATCAGTGTGAAACAACCAGAAGCCACTTCAGCAACAAGACGTTATGTGCCATATGTGTATTGCAGCAAATACTTTATATTTGAGAATCTTTACAGCTTACATTTCCATTCCATTATTACAAGTGATGAAAAACAAAAAACTGAAAGTAGCATACAAATTATAGATACAGTCTTCCCAGGTCACTAACTGCATTTTGTCTGTGACTGCTTCTTCCCAGTTTGTTTAGGAAACTGCCTGAAAAGCTGAAAGTGATTAGAAAATTCTTTATAGTTTAAAATATCTCTCTCTCATTTTAGAAGAAACCAAATACCCAACCATCAAAATTAAAAATAAATTGAATTGTCATAGTCCATTACAGTTATTGTTAGTAGATCCACTTCATTTGCAGGTGTCCAAAACATAAAATAAATAATTCTTTATCTTCAAATTCATCTGTTCTTAAAGTGCTCCTTAAAACTTTGGTTGTCTTCCTGTAATGCAGAAGAAAAAGTTAATGAATACAGCTTTTACTAATTCGTTTATAAACCAAATACTGTGACCCTACTAAGTGTTTACAGATCTAAATGCATGGTACTACAGAAACTATTAAAGTAACTAGAATTTGTCAAATAACAAAACAATTCTTCTGTGTTTAAAAAAACATGTAATTCACTTTAAAATATATTAGATTGTATTCCAAACCTGCTGTTCTGTTCTTGTGGCACTTTAAAAAAAAGTTATTACTGAATATACCAAAATTTAACTCAATTCTAATGTATAAGAATTGTTCAGAGTAGTATGTCCAGCTTTTATCTACAACATGAAATATTAGAGGTGGAAAATCTACAACTGGAAAAGTAACTGTTTTATAAAACACTGAAGTTTCAGATTTATTCATACAGACCAAGGATCCATAGTTCCTAAGATCTCCAAATAGGTAGGAAAATTCAAGCATCATTATGTATTCCTGTGTGCAAGGTATTATGAAAAAAAAGTTTAAATTCCTGCTTTAATTTTAAAAATAAGAATTGGCTGCAGGTGTGCAAGCCAGGAATTTTAAATTAAGAAACATCGTATATTATGAGCAAGTTAAAGTTTTAAAAAATTGTAATTGAGGCTATGAAGTCTAAAGCATTAGAAATCCACAAAATGAAGAACATAGGAGCAGTCTGTACCTCAACATGAACTATTCTCAGCACACCAATATCTGAGCTCTTCTCAGTAGAAGCCCAGTTTCTCTTTTTCTTTCTTCTTTCTTTTCTTTCTTTCTTTCTTTCTTTCT